GAGACAGAAATATATAACAGAACGCAAGCGGAAAGCAAAACATTCCACTCTTTAAATTTTTCTGAGAAAAATATATTATTAGAAATTCCAACTCTCGATTTTCGATTTAATTGGATAGCAACTTTGGAAGAATCTGGTTTTGTGCAGCAGTTGTTGTTTCAAGATCAAAACGATGTCATCTCCGGACGTTGTCTCGCTATTGGAGAGCTCGAAGGAGCTCGATCGGGTAAGGAAAGAACAGGAGGAGATTCTCTCAGAAATCAACAAGCTCCACAAGAAGCTTCAGACTAGTCAGTTATCTCTTATTCAATACTTTATTTTTACCTGATTTTTGTTTTTTCAATATTGCATTTTTTTCCTTTTTTTGACCTGAGGTTCTTAATGTTTATGTTTGTTTGTAAATCAGGTGTTTCTTTCTTCTGTTTTATTTTTTTTATCCATTTTAGTTTTGGATAAATTGAAATTAAAATATAAAATTATAAAAAAGAACTGTTTTGAGTGTGTAGGCTGTTTCTTTTGTGGAGTTACAACTTTTATTAACCTCAAAAATGCCCTTGTTTTATGTTGTTTTTTGGATTGCCATTTTTTGTTGAAATTGTTTTTAGATTTTGAATTTTACGAACATAGATACTAATAGTGATTTTTTGTATTTCATACATAAAAAAATTTGATTTGCTTATGTTGATTGGTATTAAGATAAAATATTGGACAGGAAAGTTTATTAGAGAAAATGGTGATAAACATGCTTACGTAGTGGTGTAATATGGTTGTGGCAAATGTTATGGACATCAGTAGAAGTGCTAGTGTGAAAAAATGGACGTCAGCCCCCTTTAAAAGGACAGAAAAATACATAAGGAAATGTTTGTTATCACAATGTGAATTTCAAGTGGGACACTGCTTTTAATGTGTTTTAAAGGCACTTCCATGGGTAAGTTAGTTTCGACTGTCAGTCACAATGTACGGGTATATTAGTGAGAATAATGAATGCCCTTGGTAGGATCCTTGGATATCCATAACGGTATGAGGATTGCAGGGTTGAGTGGTGTTGGGCATCGATGTCTTGATCTTCTCGTGGTTGTATACAGACTTCAGTTTGGGCTCAATCTCAGATGGCTGATCAGAATCCAGGTTTCAGTTTCATGACCTGGATTTTCATCTGAGTTTGGATGGGAGCTCTTCAGCAACTTAATGGCCATGCCAACTGTGGTTTGAGTCAAGTAGAGAAAATATTAAGAGAAACGCTTAAAATATACTTTACTCTAAGATAACATTGATTGATCATCAATATAACCTCTAACAGACATCAAGTTGTGGCAATGGGGCAAGACTTGGTTCTTGTTGCTGATTACTAATATCCAAACTTGAAATGGAATATGTCATGCTCTTAAGCCTGTGAAAAGTGGATATCTTTGGCCAAGTTAGAGTTCAGCAATAAATTAGAAGTTCTGTAATGTTTTCTCTTATTGTGCCTGCCTATTTCTTGGCTTATTTTATGAAACGTTGCAACTATGGTTGTCAATCTCAACTTAACTCCTACAATTTTGTGATTTTTAATTGTCAAGCTCTCTGTCAAATTCTTATTTTGGTTAGGCCAGGCATAAATGCTGAAGTAAAAAAGTGAGGCTATGTATTTGAAATCAACTTTAACTTTTGTCATCATTGACCCCAATATGTATGATAGGGCTTTACCTTGACTCAAAGGATTTGATGAAATTAACTCCTTTTTAATATGTTTTCTCTAATATTTTTTTTTTTCTTTTATGAATTTACATATAATTTGGTTGTTTAGTTGTCTGATCTTTTTCAGTACTAATTTATGTGTACACTTTGTTGTTATTTTGCTATTTTGTTTTATTGTAAAGTTGAGTTATTGAATTCTTGACGTGTAAGAGTATTTTGTGAAGCCTATATGCTATGAAATAAGTTTTTTAATAATATTTTTTCTATTAAGTAACCTTGAAAGTTTACAAGTTAACTCTACAATTCAAGTTTATAGAAGTTACATGCGTTTATAGAAGTCTGTCAACAAGTCTTTGATACATTTCTTTGTCTCCTACAATATCCTCCTCTATACTTTGAGGGCAATCTATTGATGAAATAAGTGACAGTAAAAAGGGCTTCTCCTAAAGAGTATGATATTGAAAATGTAGAGCTCTAGTTTGTTTTAATAAGTGCCCATTTTTCCTTTCAACAATTTCATTTTGTTGAGGCATGTTAACACATGAAGATTATGGATTATCTCCTATTTATGGAAAAATAGAGTTGAAACCAAGATTAAAGTAGTCTTTAGCATTATCAGACCTAATTCTCTTAATATTGACTCTAGATTTATTCTTAATCATTGTGACAAACTGAATAAAGGTAGAACTAACCTTGTGTTTCGATAGGAAAACCCAAGTCACTTGAATACAATCATCTATAAAGGTTATAAACTATTTATCACCTAAGATACTACCAATATTAGTAGGACTCCATACATTAGTATGAACAAGATATTGCTAATGGAAAAATTTGTGCACTTGGTTTTTTCAAACTCACACACCTCATAGTGGAGAGCTTCCACCATTAAATTCTTAAACAGCCAAGGGAAAATAAATTTTATCACTTGAAATGAAGGATGTCCCAGCTGACAATAGTATATTATAGTTAAGATTTCTCTTAATTAGTCATGATGGATTAAGATACGAGGGAGTGGCTATTGATAGGTTGATTAGGGTCCTCTGTGTAGTAAAGGTCATTGCATTGTCTAGCATGTCCAATCATCCTCTTGATTTCTTGTCCTGTAAAATACAATAATTGCTATGGAAAAAATTTTATTACATGAAAGATCTTTTGTGTATTTGTACAAAAATCAGATTAGTGGACTATTTAGGGACATGAATGATATTTTTAAAGGTTATGGATGGGCTTATTTGGATCTCTTGTCCTGCCGCTGTTATAAGACTTCCATCTTCTGTTGAAATTTTCTTATTTTTAGGACATGGAGAACACATGGAGAAATATATGGGTAGTGGGGTTATATGTTCAGTGCCGCTAAAGTCTAGTTGCCAATAATGAGAAAAGGAGTAGCTGAAGCATTAAAGATCAAAAGAAAATGGAAAATTACCAGAATATGTTAGAGAGCATGTCCCTGTGTGCTTGAAATTCTGCAATTCTATAGCAGTTCAGGATTTTAAGATTGATAGACAAAGTCAGATACTCCTAAAGATAAGGAGTTCTGAAACCGTTTCATAATTTAGGAAGAAATAATATATTTCTTCTATATTTCAATAATGAGATCAATGGACCTATAAAAACATGGGTTTGTGTTAAGAAGTGAACTTTAAGCCTAATTCAACCCCACAAAACCAGTTTGTAAGGTAAGGTTTGCAATCAACCTCACAAAACTAGCTCTTAAGGGGAGGTTTGCACCCACTTATACCCCCCTTACGCTAAGGTATATGTATCTGGAGTGTGAGACTAGACATTAATGGATGGTCTGATAGTAGCCCGATAGCGGGTGGAACAATATGTCCACACAAATCTAGCTAGAATAAGCTCTAACTTAGCTCTGATACCATGTTAAGAAGTGAACTTTAAGCCTAACTCAATTCCACAAAACTGGCTTATAAGGTGAGGTTTGCACCCACTTATATATATTATAAATTGGTTTTATCTCTAGTCGATGTGAGACTTCCAAAAGTCTGCTGTTTATTTTATAAGCTAATTCTAAGGGAACTAATCCCCTTGTAGTTATGGGATTGTTTATAAATTTATAATCCTAGTTTTAATAGCAAGATACAACTATAATAAAGATTAAAAGTTAAGCAAGAATAAAATAAAAAATTCCTAAAACACATAATGAGCAACACTGTTTTGACAAAAACAAACAATCCTTTGAGTTTCAGAAGTAATCTAAAATCAATATTTCCATTATAATTTGGGTATTTGATTAATGATCCTTTAAAGACGAGGCACTTTGCCAACAAATGCAAACATTTAATACATGAGAAATAGGCATGTTAAATAAATGTTGATTATTGAAGAAAAGTATATATTAACAGCAACAAAACACTTATTTCACTGGGTAAAATTCATGTCTTGGTTCATATGGTATAAAATCCTCCCCAATTCTACAATTTAATTTTGTCTCCCCAAAACAAATTGGATTTTAGAACAAGGTAGGAGGTCTAGATCATTATGCACATTTCAATGACAATGGCACATGAGTGAGCGAACGTGTGAGACATGATACAAATACATTCATTTATCTTTTTCTAACAACCAACTTATCGGTTTTTTCTTCATGAAGCATTCTGACTTCAGTGATTTTAAGGAATGACACACTAAACAATTTAATTTCTTTGCTTTAGTTTCCTTCCTTTTGAATGTGAAACTTGAAATTTTAAGATTTAAGTCAATCAGTCGCTGGGAACAATTACTTAGAATGACTCTAATTTGACTAGCCAAAGACTCTTTGTACTTGCTTGACTGGAGTGGCTGAACTTGTTTCCATTTCTGAGAATCATAATTTGATGTTTATTCTTGTATTCTGCTATGATATCTGTTTTTTTTGTTGATATTTTATTGTCACTTCGATACAGCTCCTGAAGTGGTTGAGAAGCCTGGGGATACCTCATTGGCAAGGCTTAAAGTGTTGTACACTCAAGCAAAAGATCTTTCGGAAAGTGAAGCAAAGTATGTTTAATCTGTCCGTAGCTCAGAAACATTTTATATGAATTACATTTTATTTTCATTTATGCTGAAAATCTTTAAGCTATGCATTTTGATATGAGAGTCGCTTGATATACTGTCCAGGCTTGGCATTCTATTGCATGTGATTCTTGTATTGATTTTTGATGCAGTATTTCCAGCTTAATGTTAAGCCAAATTGATGGAATACTCCCTACGGGTCCACAGGGGCAAACACGAAGAAGAATAGGTTTGCCTCACATTTTTGACAAATATGTTCTTTCATTTGAAACATTATCATATTTGTTATACATTTAGAATTCATCCATAAGATAATTATATTCATCTTTCACTTGAAATATTATAACCTCTGTACGTAGGCTTGGACATTTAGAATTTGTTGACAATAAATACTGTCAACGTAGAACCTTTTAGTATGTTGCTCTTTTAATATTTTCTTTTCATTTGTGTTATGTATTAACCACAAAGACTAGGTATGATTAACCAAAATGATACAACCCAAGTTAGGGTCGAAAGCATTAGAGATATGCTTTTTAAGGGGAAGGAGTGTAGGAAGTAAATAAAATAAGAAAACGGGGAGGAAAAGAATGTCTCACAATTTTGTGACAACTACATGCCAAATTTCAATTCATTTGATGTAAATTTTTGGTTGTTTTAAGATCTTTTCTTTCCCTCCTTTTTTTTTTCCAGGAAAAGGTAAAGTCTACTCTTTGGATACTCATCTCTGCTGCAATGTGGGTCAGTCCTGTATAGTCCTGCTACATGAAGAAAATGGGGGAGGGAGGGCATGCTAACGTGTAACTTAAAGTAAAACTGAAAATTGTGTATTAATCAATTCATTTATATTTTTACATTCGATCCTTTTCTGCCGATATGGTGGAAGTAGAATGGAAAAAGTGCTGGGTATATCTATGAAAATCATGATTCGGAGGTACAGATTAGCCAAACTTACAGCTCGTTAGCAAGAGTGCTTTAGCATGCTTTTGTTATCCCCAGCTAATACATGGTGATGCATTGCTCCCCAACAATATGGTAATGATTTTGTACAACATTCAGTTGATAAACAAGGCTATGCAAACTTATGAATCAAAATACGAACAAATATGTGGAAGCGTTTGTGGAGTATTGTGGTTGAAGCAAATAATTTCCTTAAACTTTGTTATTATTATGATTTCCTTGAGATGCTAGTTTTTATTTACCTAGTCTAGCTCCTAAGTATATCCGTGTTACAGAAGGTAATGAGCAGAAAAGGAAACGAGTAAAGACTGAGTCAGATATTTCAAGACTAAATCCTACTATGCGAAATCATCTTGAAGCTTGTGCCAGTCTTAAAGGAGAACAGGTATGCATTTATGCTGAAGTTTGATGAATACAAATCAAATACTCCATTAACATTTATTGACAATGTTTTTATCCATGTTAGTTATACTACATGTATGAGCAGTACATTGCATTTGATAAGTTTGTCTGTTTAAAGCTTACATGATAGATTTCTTGGCAGCAAGAAACCCAGGACACCCTCGGGTTATCACACAAAACACACACAACACTCAATCTCACAAGGGAACAAACTGTATTATTGTTCTTGTAATAAAGAATGAAGTCCGTAAGCATCCAAAGGAGCAATCCTCCCCTCACACAAGATGTAATGCTCCTATCAAAACAAAGATACAAAACAGATGTGTCCTCCTAAGACACTCTTTCCCCCTAATATAGCCAAACCCTCACACGAAACACATAACAGCCAACCGCCTAACAGCCCTCCTAACCCTCCTAACAACTATGCCCTGTTTTTTATTTCCTTTCTCCTTACATAAACTCTCAAGGTCCTATTATTACTTACCGGCCTTTGAACAACCTTGTCCTCAAGGTGAAAGAAATTGTTCCCTTATGGTCACCTCATCCTCCCATGTAGCAGCTTCTGGCCCTCCTTCCTGCCACTCAATGAGCACCTGTTGTGTTGGTTCTCCTTGCAACTGATTTGTTCTCCTTTCCAATACTTTGAGGGTACAACAAACTTGCCCTCCCCCATGTAAATCCTCCGGTAGTCCCCTTTCCACTTGTTGGGTGCCCATCGCCAATTTAAGTTGAGACACATTAAAGACTGGGTGGATACGGGCTATCTCTAGCAGCTGCACCCTAAAAGCCACTAGTCCTACCTGGTTGGTCACTTGGAAAAGACCATAATACCTGGCTGACAACTTGGGGTGCAATTTGGTAGGCATGGATGCTTGCCTATAGGGTCTGATCTTGAAATATACCTAATCTCCCTCCTTGTCAGTGATGGCCTTCATTTCTTGTTGGAAAATTTAGCCATTTGATCTTGTACCCTCTCTAAATGATCCCTTAGTTGCTTGAGGGCCTCGTCCCTATTTTGTAGCTCTTGTGCCACTGCTTCCACAGTTGTTTCTCCTAACACAAAACAGGTGAGGGACGTGTAGGGAGGTTCAACATACACACATATATCTCCACACTGGTAAGATATTGTCCGCGTTGGGCTAAGCCCTCACGGATTTGCTTTTGGTACCACTCCAAAAGGCCTCTTACTAATGGAGGTATCTTATATATATATATAAACCCATGTCCATCTCTTGTTTTATCTGATGTGGGACTTTGTTTATACCTAACAATCTTCCCTTCAAACAAAGGACTATGGTTCTCCACCTCCCCTAAGTGGAAGTCTTTTCTTATCCTCGAGTACACCATGATCAACACTTCTCTTTGCTCTCTTTCACGATCCATGGTCACACACTGAGCATCTCTTTCTCTCCACCTCTCATGATACATCTGGCTATTTACCATCAGCCACCGGCCACCTGCCAAGACTTCACCTTACCATGGAGGGACGTACTCGTTTGAGTCCGGTCACCAGACCTGAACCATCGACTTTGATACCATTTGTAGGGAGATTCAACATACACACATAGATCTCCACACTGGTAAGATATTGTTCGCTTTGGGCTAAGCCCTCACAGATTTGCTTTTGGTACCACTCCAAAAGGCCTCTTACCAATGGAGGTATCTTATGTGTAAATAAACCCATGTCCATCTCTTGTTTTATCTGAATTGGGACTTTTTTTGTACCTAACAGGATGAAGGAGCTCTCCCATACACCACTTCAAAAGGAGTGCATTGCCGAATCTTGAAAGCTAGTGTTATACCAGTATTTTGCCCAAGAACATAACTCCAACGTTTAGGCTATTTCGAACTGAAGCATCTTAAGTAGGTTTGTAAGGTCTTATTAAGAGTCTTTGTTTGGCCATATGTTTCTAGATGGTAGGCAGTGCTCATAACTAATTTAGTACCCTGGAGCCTAAAGAACTCCTTCCAAAACAAGCTAAGAAAGGTTGGATCTCTTTCATTGACTATAAAGGAGGGTATACCATGCAGTTTTACTATGTCCCTAACAAAAACTTCTGCTATAGACTTTGCTAGTATGAGTGCATAATGGGTATAAAATGACCATATTTACTTAGCCTATCTACCATGACCAACACCGCAACATACCCATTGGATTTGGGTAAACTTACAATTAAGTCCATGCTGATTTCCTCCCATACAGCCTGCAGAATAGGTAGAGGATGTAATAACCCTTGTGGTGAAGAAGCTAAGTACTTATGCTGCTGGCAAACCAATCAAGCAGCCTCAAAATCTGTTACTGCCTTTTTCATCCCTACCTAATATAACGGCTAGGCCACCTTTCTATACGTTTTGAAGACCTTGGAATGCCCTCTTGTGGCAGTCACATTAAACTCTGCTATAAACTTCGTGATCCATGTTGATTGGGCTGACAAAACCAACCTTTCTTTGTAATGAAGGGGATCATGTTCCAGCATGAAAGTTGAGTGAGAGCTTGGTTCTTCCACCAGATCCCTCCTGATTTTTTGTAGCACCAAGTCTCCTTCTACCTCCTCCAAAACAGCTTGGAATGCCTAAAGGTTCTAGTAATCACCCTAAGTTCCTTCTCCTGCTCCCCCATCTCTTCAGCCTTCCTAGACAGGACATCTGCTTCCTTATTGGAGGCCTCAGACCTATACACTATCTCAAATTCATACCCTAGCAATTTAGCCAACCAATTATGTTGGTTTTGGGTGGTTATCCCTGTTCTAGGAGGTATCTTAGACTCCTCTGGTCTATATGGACCAAAACTTTCTAGCCTAATAGGTACAGTCTCCAATGCTAGATGGCTAACACCAAAGCCATCAACTCCTTCTCATAAATGGACTTGGAAAGAGAGGATTCTGACAATGATTTACTGAAATAGGTGATAGTTCTCTTGTTCTATGAAAACACAGCTCCCACCCCTCTCTCGGATGCATTACACTCTACATGGAAAGTTTGAGAAAAATTAGGCAGCACTACTTGGGTTGTAGTAATGGCTTCCTTAAGGCCTTGCATGACCTCCATGCTTTGTTGTGTCCAATCAAACTATGCTTTCTTTAGCAAGTTTGTTAAAGGCCTAGCTTTCCATCCATAATTCTATATAAACCTCCTATAAACCTCCGAATTAGATCCACACCACCTAGCTCAAACAAGTAAAATCTCTCCTTCACCTCCAAACCTTCAAATAATAATGGGATGTCGTGACAACATCCTCTAGTTGTCTTCTTATATCCATCACTCAAGCAAACTTAGTCGAAATAAAATTGTGGCTGACACCACTATCAATTAACACCAACACTTACTTCTCTTTCACCTATCCTTGTAATTTCATAGTATTGGATTGTGTCAAGCCTCCTGCTGAAAAAACCGAGAGCTCCATCTGCCTCTGCTCCATTTCTTCCTCCTCTTCTCCTTCACTTTCCTTCTCATCTTCAGCCATGATCAGTATCCTCATATTTTTTTTTCTGGACACCTATGTCCTGAGCTGTAGGGACCCCTACTGTGGAAACATCTCCTTTCCTCTCTTTTCTGGATATATTCTGGGTAAGGCACATTCCTTATCCCCTTGTTCCTATTTTCTCTTGTAGTGTTCCCTCAAATGTTGGAGCCCACCGTGGTGCTAGTCTCATATTTCCTTGTGGTGCTTACGTTGCTAGAGGTACCTTGACCACTTCTGGCCCCTTTGAACATTTCAGTTCTAGAAATGGCACCAATTCCTTCTTATACCTTTTGGAAGACTGACTGTTTCTATTGGCACTCCTCCTCCCAATCTTGGATCTTGAGTGACTTCCTCCATATCCTTGGCTATCTCCATAGCCCTTAACAAATCCCTAGGATTATGGGGCTTGATTTGGCTCCTAATATCATTTTGCAAACCCCCAAAGAAGTACCCCAATAATTGTTCCTCAGTCAACTTGTAGTTTGAGATACTAACATTTCAAATTCTTGGATATATTCTTCCACTGGCCCCTTTTGCCTTACAGTAGCCAGCTTTTCAAAAAAAGAGCATCTGTTTCTTCCTCCAAACCTCTTAATCAAGGCTTTTGCTAGTTCCTTCCAAGAAGGGTTCTTGTTTTTTTTTTTCCAAAATCTGAACCAATGATTGGCTCCCTTCCATGCTAACGAAGGCCAGTCTCATCTTTTCCCTGGCTGAAACATTCTGCACCTCAAAGAACTTTTCAGCTCTTGGTATCCACCCCACCAGATCTACTCCTTCAAAGGTAGGTAATTCTACACTTTTCATCCAGCCCTTTTGTATTTCCCCCATTTCTTCCTCTAGATCCTCCTCAGGTTCTTCGTTCCTTCCCCTTCTTTCCTCATTAACCGAACCTTGACTGTCCTCAGAACCACTATCCTGGTTCTTTGATTTCAGCATAAGTATCAAATATTTAAGTTCTTGATGATTTTCCCTGGTCTATTCCCTGAGATCATCTATGGCTCTTCCTTGTTCCTGACCAGCCTCTCCAGCGTACTGATTCTCCCCTCCATTTTCTTCCTTTTTTTGTGACCCGGGAGGTTGATCCAATTAATAGGTTTCTAGGAAACCCTCGGATTAGCACACAAAAACATACACAACACTCAATCTTACAAGGAACAAACTGTATTATTATTCTTGTAACAAAAGAATGATGTCCGTAAGCATCGAAGGGAGCAATCCTCCCCTCACACAGGATGTAATACTCCTGTCAAAACAAAGATACAAAACAGACGTGTGCTCTTAAGACACTTTCCCCCTAATATACCCACCCTCACACAAAACACATAACAGCCAACTGCATAACTGCCCCCCTCTTAACCCTCCTAACAACTATGCCTTGTTTTCTATTTCCTTTCTCCTTACATAAACTCTCAAGGTTCTATCATTACAGCTGTTAGAAATTCAGTTATAGTTAGTTTATTGAGCTGTTCACAGTTGTGATTCTGTTATTAATTTTTTAGTGAAATCTATTATCTGAATCTCTTACAAGGTTATGCATAACTTGTAGTAACATTTTCATAGACTCAACTTGTTTATGATGAAGAATGTTTTTTGGAAACAATTTTCTAAAGCATCTAGAGTTCTATTCCTTTTAGTTAATTTCTTGTCAGGTGGCAGCTAGGGTCACACCACGAAATGCTGATAAGGATGAATGGTTTGTTGTAAAAGTGATTCATTTTGACAAGGAATCAAAGGAGTAAGTATAATATTAATTTTGCAATTTTGTTCTGTCAGTTGCATATAAATTTGGGGTAGTTAGTCACCTCCTCTATGGTTTTGCTTATGATACTAACATTGTTTTTTATGACTTCACTAAGGTTTGTGTAGACTCTATGTGTAATTTTTTATACACCAAGCATATAGGTGTAGTAACAGAATGTGAAGGCAGTAATTTTCCAAAAGAGAGGATTTAGGGTGTAATAAGTGCTGAATATAGGAGTATTTAGTGCAATTATCCATATTAATTTTTGAAGACATACTTATACCATTTTACCACATTGATGCCAAGACATTAACTAAATGCAGGGTATTAAATTGAGTTGAGTTCTAACGGTGTATATTTAGCTTGTGCTATCTTAGTAGTGTTAGAAATCTCACATTGAATAAAAATAAGTTTAATTTACAATGTATAAGTACAAACAAATCTCACCTCACAAACTGATTTTATGAAAATAGGTTAAGTTTAAACTCACTTTCTAATGTAATATCGTAGTCTATTTAATAGAAGTATTCATAACAAAATGAAAAACACACTCTGTGTCAATCATTTTTGCTATACTCGGATCCAGTTCCTACTGCTTTAGGAATAGAACAGAGGCTGAAAGAATTACAATTCTGTTATCTACCCTGCACATGAAGAAGTCACCTTGTCCTCAAGGTAAAAATCTGGAAATTCTCAGTAAATGAAAGTATTGAATATAGTAAAACTAGGTATAAGATTAATCTCCCTCGTGTAGAAAATACACATAGGGTACTTTATTTATAATAATGAGAAGTGGGTTAAGCTCAAATATAAATGAATATGTAAAAATAACATAATAAAGATAGGGACTATGTTTCCTTAATTAACATAAAACACAATATATCTAAACATGAAGCAACCAATTCCCAACTATTTTTTATATCTGGAAGCTGGTACCATTTAAGAACATCTAACTCACCACACAAATTAATTTGTATGTCCAACAATTTCTTGGTTATGGTTGATATGAATTTGGAGACTGTACTGCTGGCTTAAAAGCAAAGACAAATGAAACACCAGTGGAATAAGATTCAGCAGAGGAAGTTCCAACTTTTAAGCAACCTGACTGATGCGTTCTACAATTTGATAAGGGCCATAAAATTGACGATGTAGTTTCTCCTTAAGCTTACTGGGTAGTGATTTAGAGCAATATGGCTGAATTTTCAGAAAAACCAATTGCCTGCTTGGTAAACCACCTCAAGTTTGTGTTTATTAGCTTGAACGAAATTATCATCATGTGCTTTGCATAAGTTAGCCTTTAATTCCTTTAAAATTGCATCTTGTTCCACCTGGGAGCGGTTCACACTTTCCACTCAAGAAGGGATAGCTGTTCATTTTGTTGGAAGTCTCATATTGACTAAAGATAAAGTGAATTTATAGTATATATGTGGGTGCGAATCTCACCTTACAAGCCGGTTTTGTGGGATTGAGTTAGATTTAAAGTCCACTTCTTAACATGGTATCAGAGTTTATCCTAGTGAAACATGTTGTTTGTTAGGTTTATTGTTCAACCCGCTTATCTGGCCGCTATCAAACTATCTATTAATATTTGGTCCCACGCTTGAGATGTATACGTCTCAGCGTGAGAGGTGTGTTAAAAGTTCTACATCAACTAGAGATAAGGATAGTAGGAGGGTCTTGGTCATAAAGAGCTTTAAAAGGAGCCATTGTAGAAGAGGCATGCCCCATCATAACCAGTTAGGCCATTGTTTAGGTTGAGAACTGTCACTCAACTCAATTATGTCTCAATGCAATGGTAAACTACTTTTGTTTGACCATCAAATTAAGGGTGATAGGTTGTGCTATACTTTAGTTTAGTCCCTGCTTGTTTAAGCACTTCTTTCCAAAACTGACTGAGAAAAACTTGGTCCCCTTCAAAACCTATGGACAAAGGAAAACCATGAGGTTTAACAATTTCTCTCACAAATAATTGTGCCACCATAGTTGCTATATATGGGTGTGACAAAGCAAATAAATGAATGTATTTAGTAAGACGATCTACCACAACAAAATTTGTGTCACTGGCTTTAACCTTAAGTAACCCACCAATAAAATCCATGGAAATATTGGACCAGACTGTTGGAAGTCCCACATCGACTAGAGATAAGGCCAATTCATAGTTTATAAGTAGGTGCAAACCTCACCCTACAAGCCGGTTTTGTGGGGTTGAGTTAGGCTTAAAGTCCACTTCTAACATGGTATCAGAGCCATGGTTAGAGCCTATCCTAGCGATATTTGTTGTTTGCTGGGCATATTGTTCCAGCCACTATCGGACCACCCGTTGAAAATGTCTAATCCCATGCTCGAGATGTATATACCTCGGCGTGAGGGGGTGTGTTGGAAGTCGCACATCGACTAGAGATAAGACCAATTCATAGTTTCTTTTGTTTTCTTTTTATTTTTTATGGGTTTTCTTTTTCATCCTTCATCTCCTTCCTCTTCCTCCCCCACACCACCTCTCCATCTCCTTTCATCTCCTCCCCTACACCACCTCTCCATCTCCTTGCTCCTCTTCCTCCCCTACACCACCCTTCCATCTTCTTGCTCCTCGTCTTTCCTCTTCAACAACAAATTGATATTTTCAAGACAAATAAATTTTCCTATTAATCTTTTTTCAACCAGAAATGATGGGTAAAATGGGGAACTCTACAAAGAGAAAAAGAAAGAGTCAAACAACCAAACTGCAAGGAAAGGACAAATAGGTGCTGGAATGGGATGTGCAGTGGACATCAAACCCAACTATGGCTGGGTGGTGTCCCTTCGTGCTGGAAGACTGCATGTGGACAACATTAACCTGACATGCATGACGAAGAGGATGTGCATGCAGGTGCATGAAGTAGTTTCTGCTCTCAAGACCGGTGGAGTTGGTAGTGGCTTGCCTATTTTGGTGGTGTGGGGAAGAAGAAAAGTAAATAAATAAATAAATAAATAAAAATAAAGATAAAATAAATAAAAATTTAGAATACTAACACATGACACCCACCAAACCGTGTTGACGTCAATTTAACTACAAGGTCAATATTGTGTGATTTAAACAAAATTGGGATTCAAATGAGTCAAAAACAAAATATTGGGAATCAATTGAATATTTACCTTCAATATAGGGACCAAAATACTAATTAAACCTATAATCTTTCCTGTTTTAATTCATAGTTAGCATGAGCCTTAGGATCCACAACCAAATCTTGCTTTAATGCATTGTCATCCTTTTGAACCTCCAATTCCCAATCCTCCCACTCTCGTCTGCACAATAGATATGGTATTGCAGACCACCTTCCTGGACAAAGCATCAACTACTTTGTTCTCCTTCCCAGGACAATGAACCCAATAAGTATCGAAGCTCATTTGAACTATTTCTCAGCTTTACTGGAAGAATTCATGACTTCCACAGTTTCCCCTTTTCCTCTACCTATAATGGCCATGTGATTGCCTCCTTCCCGTGAATAACTTCTCATTGGCCAACTTGACCTATACCCCATGTTCCCCTTATCTACTGATCTTGAGCTTTGTTGGACTTATCGTGCTACATGCTATCGGGCTATTGTGAGACTACTTACAAATATCTAGTTTGAGGGATGAGATGCCGACATAAGGGTGGCGTATCGGAGATCCCACTTTAACAAGGCCAATTTACAATTTATAAATAGTGGAAAATTTTACCTTAAAAGTTGGCTTTATGAGAATGAGTTTGACTTAAACTCATTTCCTAGTACTTAAGGACAAGCTTAGTTGCTTTAGGACTTAAAATAAACCTGTTGCGACTGTTGTAATACGGTTATTTTTTCACAAAGGAAAAAAATTGTTAAAAGTAGTGTTTCTTGTGTATGATTTGTAATCAGTAACTGAAGGAATAGTTTTCATCTTGACATAAGTATTGTTTAATTCCCCTTTTCATTATTTTATTTGATGTTCTTGATTTGTTTTACAGATTTGAAGTACTAGATGAGGAACCAGGTGATGACGAAGAAAGCAGTGGCCAAAGGTAACGAACCATATTATGACATTTGTCATGTTTATTCATGTGCTTGCTTTGCTGGAAGTGCCATCTTAAACATACTTGGGAGTTTCGTTGTTTCCACGTGTATTAAATTGTTACTTCATTTGAATGGCATGTTTAGTTCATTTGTTTCTCTTTCTGCATTCAGACAGTACAAGCTTCCCATGGGAAATATCATTGCTTTTCCCAAGAGTAATGATCCTTCTAGTGCTCAAGATTTCCCACCTGGAAAACATGTTTTGGCGGTCTATCCAGGAACTACTGCACTTTATAAAGCAACAGTTGTTCAAGGCCCTCGCAGAGTAATAATTCTCTCATTTCTTCAGTATAGTGAGATTATTTCCTGATTTCCTTTCATTATTTTGTAGCCTGTTAATCCCTGTGGTTAGTTTAACTTTTGTGACTCAGATTTCATACTGACCAATTTATTTCCCATGTTCTGGGTTATTCTTCAACATTTCGTAACTGTGCAGAGGAAAACCGAGGAGTAAGTATACTTCATTAAGGCTTCACGGAATGTTTACTTTGTTATAAATATTACTATTTTAACCATAGAAAATCAAGTCACATCACTATTTCTTTTTACTTTCTACCCTTTTGTATGGTTTAATGAACATAAAGAGATGGGAAATTCATATTTTTTATTTTTATTTTCTTAAAATTTAAATAAATGTTTTTTCTAAGATAAAATAAATTTTTAATAATATACGAAATTTTAAATTTTAGTCTGTATAAAAGGTTGTTATATATCTTAATTTTTTTATGCTCATTCGTCCAGATAAGCAAAAAGAAATTTCTAAACTTTTTTCCTTATTTTAGTTATGCAAATAACATACCTTTTCTATTATATTTTCTTAATATTTCTATCCTTTATATTTTGTGTTGCTTTTCTCCCTAATCGAGTAATAGTTTATGCCCTGTTTGATTACTTTTGCGGTGATTGGAACAGCTATGTGTTGGAATTTGATGATGACGAAGAAGATGGATCTTTACCTCAAAGGACTGTGCCCTTCCATAAAGTGGTTCTTCTTCCAGAAGGACATCGCCAATGAGCTTTAAACTATTTATAGGTGTGTATAAAGTAGAAACGACATTATTGCATATGTGCCAGTTGTGTACTATGCTGCGTTATGTTTTTTTCAAGATTGACATCCCAACTTGGTTTCAAGCATGTAAGAATGACAGCGTAGTTTACCACTGCGTATAAATGATAAATAGTTTGTGGCAACTTTGTTACACTTCTCTATCTTTATCAGTCATCAGAAACTATTATTAATAGGAGAAAGAGAGTCATCTTATGTGAACTTTTTTTTTCCATTTAAACCTATTTTAAAGAAAAAAAAATTGCAAATAAGCTAATCAGGAAAGAAAACAAATAATTTGTTTTCGGAAACCGATATCTTGTAGTTTTTCTATATTTTTTACTTGTATAGATAACGAACATAAGAAGGATTTGAAACAATAAATAATGAAAGTAAACCAAATAATAAAAAGTGTTTTAATACGATATATATATATATATATATATATATATATATATATATATATTGTTTTAAATAAACATCAAATTGGTTTTAAGTAATAAAAAATATCAATGAATATTTGTCAGACATGCTATAAACTTTTAAAGCAACAGAGATAAAAAGAAAAGAAGTATGTTGCGATTATCAATTACAGTATAATTATTTATTAAATAATTAAAATATTAATTTTGTTGTAAACTAAGCTATGTAGTTTGAAAATTTTATTATGTTTATGGATAATTTGACATTTAAATAAGGGTTAAATATTGTTTTTAAAATGAATAAGTATAGTTTTTTCAACTTATGTTAAATTTTTTTGGATGTGTAAGCGGAGTTTTAGGTTAGTGTTTGAGTTATTTATACTATTTTAAACATGTTCAAATATTAGTTTGAAAGTCGTTTAATACAAAAATTAACACTAGAGGATTATATTAATTCATTTTTAAAAATTCGAGAACCAAAATCTATTAAAATTTAAAACATCGACTAACTCTAATTTTGCATTCAAAAATTAAAGATCAGAAACATATTTAATCCTTTAAATTATATGTTTTATTGATTAAACAATAATATTGAAATAAAATAATTTATGAAATAATATTTTATGATTAAATAATTTTTAAATAATGAATAAATTGAAAGTTAATAATTGAATGTATGAATTTTATTTATGAATAAAAATGTTACCAAACAGTTATAAAAGTATTATATAAGATGATTTTTATGTACAAGTAATGGTCTTACAAGACCCAGATGCACTCGTCAAATACACATTTATATCTGTCGACTCCTTTTTGCATCCTTGTTCTTCATAGTCGATATTCCTTCAGTTAATCTTTTTGAGTGTTCTTTCTTCATTTGATCTCGTTGGTCTTCAATAGGGGAGCCTGCAAACTCAGTCTAATGCTCAAGTCAACAATAATAAGAAGCAATAAATTCAACAAATTGGATCAGATCTCATACATAGTGAATAATGCCTATTTATAATATCTACATGGGATTTTGTCCTGGTTTAGGATTTCCTAATCGATGATTAGTTGTCTTTTATCCTCTTTTAATTCCATATACTATTTCTAATAAAGCAACATTATTTACATTGGGGCGTCGAGGTCACACTACCCCTTAATGGTTTGTATGTCAAGGTTACCTTGCCTTCATGATGTCATGATACACGTTGTCGATTACACGTTAGGCCCCAAGCTTGAGGTGTTTTGGCCAAAAGCCTCTTTTTGCAAGAGAAATTTTCTTTCTTGATTTATTGGGCTCTATGGTATAGTAGTCCTCTAGTCTCAAGGACCAAAGAGATGAAGAGACTAGAACATATCTGACCTTGGGTGTTGTTGAAATTAGGGTTATGATGATTTGACGATTGCTTTATTAGGAAGCGTGATAGTCATTGTATAAAAGCTTACCAAACAATATTTCTTGAAACGTGTAGATTCATTGTCCTTAATGACTTAACCGTGATGTATTGTGCAAACTTCCATAATATAATAAGAATTTCTCAGGATCTCATAACTAGCAAGGATCTCAAAAAAGAGTATAAAAATAAGCCAGAATATTTTTAGAAAAGGAAAAGAAGATGAAACTAAGAAGAAAGGAGAATAAAAGAAGATTGATTTTTTTTGTCTTGGAATGAGGGAAGAACTCTCTATTTATAGAGCTAGGAAAAAATTAATTAAATAAAAGAAATTAAAAAATCATAAATGATTAACGTTGCTACCTGATAAAAATATTATCGTTTGCCAATTAATAAAAGAATATGAATGTTGTAAAACGTTCCAAAACTTTGCAATATTATAACATCACCTAGATAGGTTCATTGGATCTAAGATGATCCAATGATTGTGGATGCACTAGTAAAAAAAAGAGATATTACCACGCCTGTTATGCCTAGGTTCACCATAAACCGATACATAAAATGGTACGGTGGCATTTTTGAAATTTTCTTGACAATATAGGCCTTGGTTGTTTTAGAACCGATGCCATATAGGGTATATGGCCTTGGTTGTCTATAGAACTGAGGCCAAAAATCCCTACAAGACTCTGACATTCCACATCTGTAGTCTGTTGTCATAAAGGATGCAGTCAGACCGTTAGAGATTTGGCTTCGGTTCTAAGGGGAACCGAGGCAAAAAAGTTGAAAAATATTTCAAAATTGCCATTTCAAATCAATGTTGAATTTTTTTAATAGAATAGGCCTCGATTAGGCAGAGAACCGAGGCCATACCCTTTCGTAGGTTTTTTTTTTTATTTCGAATTTTTTTCTAAATGGGTTCAGACTAAGAACCCTAATCAGAAAACTCTTCCCCATTCTCTTCTCTATTCCCGTTAGCGCGAGAAACCAACTTCTTCCTCTTTTTCTTCTCGTAGACCACCCAATCTTGGGGGCGAGAAGTTCTGCGTCTCAAAGAGAGACAATGACCTCACGGCGGCGAGAATGGTGGCACTACACAAGCGTGACTCAAGCGTGTTCTCGCCTTCGATGGCGGTTCGTGGTGGACTTTCAGGGTCCTTTCGTTGCGCTGGTAGACCTTATCCTTTTCTCTTTCTTTTTCTGGCTCGCGATGCAAGAGAAGGTAGCACCACTCTCTTCTTCCCCTTTTCCATCCTTTTCTTTCGTGTTGGTTCAAGCATCGCAGGGAGGGTTTTCTTTTCTGGCGTCTTAGTGGGCGTTCTCGTGGTGGTGGAATCGCATTAGCTTTCCTCCTTCGAAGCAAACGCAGGTTCGGTTCTGACCGAGCCTAGGTGCCAACAGCGTTATGGTGGTGAAGAAGACAATGGCGACGTGTCGCGAGTGACCTCCAGTGACGACGAGGGTGAAGGGCTGAGTATCCGATGACGACAACGTAAAATACGACACTGTGATTTTGGTGGTGCTGATTCTGCGATTTAGGGTTTAGGTTGTTCTTCAATTTTGGGGGTTTTTGTTATGATGAACTGATGATCTGATTTCTTTTGTGATTTGAGATGTATGGTTTCATTCAAATTGAATTTAGGGTCTTTCCTGTTATGTATGGTGTTTTAATCTTGTAATTTTGGTTAAGGTCGATGGCTGGGATATGGGTTTCGTCTCTTAATTTGGGGTTTCCCGTTCGTTATTTGATTTTGGGTTGTTCTTTAGTTGCGCAAGTGGTGGAGAGGAAGGCGCTGATGGTGGTGGCCATGCGTGTCAAGGTGGTCGGCGTTGACAACTCCGTTTTGGCAGACTTGGAGTGAACCTTTTGGGCCAGTAGCCCAATGATGTATTTTTTGCTTGGGTTGGCAGCTTAGAGTGCACGTGATTTTTTAAAAAAAAAAACAAAGGGCTTTGACATTGGTTCTAGCTTGAACCGCTGCTATAAGCCCGTGTTATTACCTCGGTTTGAATTGAGGCCAAAATTCCCCAACTTTTTACCTTGCTGGTATATGTCTCAGTTCGAAAATCGAAGCACATTGTCAAAAACAACCGTTGTTGTTTCCCTTTGTTGCACTAGTGATGTGAGAGTGGCAATCGCGAGGCTTTCCCTGAATATAAATTCATTTTGCAATATGTGGAGACCAGTTTACTTGTTTGAAGACCCAAGCTTGAAATTATAACACCCTGTTCAGGATGTCACAGGTAGTTTATAAAATATTCATTAACTTAAAATACATTGTTAAGACAAAATCGTCTATGCGCCTAAACGCTCTCATGTTTTGAAGTTTAATCAAATAATATTAAAGCGAGATAATAATTTGAAAACAACTTAGGGTGTAAACACAAGACCTAGAACCAGAATCCCCAAACATAGAAAACATACACAAAGACTTAGAACTAGAATCCACAACATAAAAAAGCTTAGGAAAACATTTAGGATTTTAGGTAATAGAAAAACATCTAGGCTTAAACACTAAGACGCATGGCTAAATGCTATTGTGCCTAAAATGTTTAAAAGAGTTGAAGTGAAATGCTTGATGCTTATCATACCTAAAAGAGACATTTAGCATAACTTTCGAAAACCAAAACAGTTGAGACGATGTCTCTAACAAAACACATTAAAAGACTTTAATTATTAAAATATGAAAAGAAAGCTTTAATAAACTAAACATTATCTATCTAAAAAGATACAAAACCAAAAGAATTTTTTACTTGACTAAACGATATCATGAGCCTAAACAATACTTCGTTCAACGATGAAGTATTTATACAATGCTTGGTATCTTTAAAAAAAAAGTTTAACTATAAAAAGCTACCTAACGGTAGGAAATCAAAAAATTGTTCTGAGCAAACATTAAATGACATTAAATGTTCAACGTTTAAAAACAACAAAAGTGATAAGAAAGACATATATATTGCATGCACAATTTACTCTACTATTTGTACGCATCCACAAAGTTACAAATCAAATATTGGTTTAAACCGTTGGATGGTCCTCGTATTTGTTGGAGAATCTCAAGTGGGTCCTTGTTTTTCTAACGGTCTCAATTGGGTCCATGTACTTGTAAAATTGAGCCAATTAAGCCTTGTCCATTAAGTTTTCACAGACGACGTTAAACTTTGATGATGTGTTTATGCTGATGTGCATTGTTTGATTATGTGAAATTTTTATTTAATTTAAAGGATTATGACATGGCAAAATTGAAAAGGGAATTAGGGATTTGGAAACTAATCGCGTTCTTTTGGACGTTCTTTGCAAAAGTCTAGATGGGTGACCAACTCTGTGTCCATCGCTTGGACTGCGTGATTTCTGGCATTCACCCAAGCCTGTGGAGGCTTTCTTGCAGAAAAGCAAAAAAATGTACTTCAATTTTTAATCTATCAAGGGAAATGTTCTCGCATTTTTTTTTCTAATGTGGAAAATTCCTAACATGTTATGTATTCCCAAGTTCTTCTTGTTGGGGAGTTTGTGAGATGAACATGTAAAGTTGAGATCTTTTCAATTATCTTCAATAAGGGAAGTTTGATTTTTTGCTATCGAAATTCCCTTTGTCTTCCGGTTTTCAATCTCTCTAACCCTTTCCGAAAAATGCTTCTGACTATTCAGAGAATATTTGAAATTAAACTATTCATTCACATGGGGATAGATATTTTGGTGTATTTGTGAGTCACTGAATCTGGTTATTCAATATGTCTTTTTATTAGGGTTGATGATTGATGGTTGCGGCTATCCCACGAACGTTAATGGCCATGATGTTGCCGAATTCGTTGAGATCCAAATCTAGTATGGATAAATAAAATCATGTGATGCTAGCGTTGCTGAACATGATGTCTAAGCTGTTATATTTCTCTACTGTGAATTCCACTGTTTCTGCAACTTCATTCTCGTCTCTCACGTCACAGTGCTGATAACTCACTTTGTCTGAGCCAAACGAAGTTGCCAAACTATGACCCAGTTGGTCCTTTATGTCTGCTATGACCACAAATGCTCCGTTTTCCACGAATATCCTCACTACTTTCGCTCCTATTCCCACCGGTGATAATAGCCACCTTACCTTGCAACCTAAATATCACACAATTGTTTTTAACAAAGTCATTGGGGTGAAGAAATCCATGGTGTTCTACAAAGGAAAGGCCCCTATGGGAAGAAAAACCAAATGGAAGATGAACGAGTACAGTCATCTCCAAATGGATGAAAAACGCGAGTGGTTTCCAAATCCTTAATTCCCTTTTCAATTTTGTCATGTCATAATCTTTTAATTTAAATAAAAATTCCACATAATCAAACAATGCACATGAACATAAACACGTCATCACAATTTAACTTCATCTGTGAAAATTTAACGAACATAACTTAATTGGCTCAGTTTTACAAGTATATGGACCCAATTGAGACCGTTGAAAAAACAATGACTCACTTGAGATTCTCCAACAAATACGAGAACCATCCGAGGATTTAAACCTCAAATATTCTATAAAGTATATTCTAAAATATAAAATTAAAGTATACAAAATTTGTAATTCAAAAGTGTAAATTCCAAACTATATACCAGATTGTGCATTACAGAAAATAAAAAAGAATACAAGCAATTCTAAATCTATTTTTCAATAAACATACACTAATAAAAAAAATAGTTACAAAAATCAATCTCTTCAATCAAGAGGACAAGACAATGTATGTCTAAGGCAATTTCTGAAACAAAAACTAAAAGAGGAAGGTGTAGAATGGATGCAAGTCAATGTTGGAAAAAGACCAAGTGAAAAAGATAGGAATAATAAATCATTTTATCACCCTCCATTGGATCCAAGTTGAAATATTTGGAGGTGCAGTAATCTTTCAAAATTGTTCATAAATAAAAATAAAAGGCCCAACGTATAAGTGGGATATGAATTAATTTTTTCTAAAACTACTTGAGTTTTTTATTAAATTTTTATTTATGTTCAATATTTCGAAAGATGCTATGTTATTTTTTACTTCCATTTTCACAGCTTTTATTATAAAACTTTAAAATAAATACATCAGTGGTAATTTTGTAACTATCAATGTGGTAACATGTTAACATTTCCCTTGTGAACAAGCTTGAATTTTTTTTTCATAGATTCGTAGCTCAATATCTGAGCACGTATTTTCATCTCAATACTCAGTTTCTACGGGACTTGTACACTCGATTAACTTGTTAATAGGTTGACTTCTAACATTATTACAGAAATCATTTATCTATAAATGACAGTGCATATAGACTACAATTAAGTTTTTAAATATGAACCAGTGCAACTCTCATTGAATTGGCTGGCTAAACTTCATTCTTATATTTGAATTTGCCATCATCACCTTAAAAGTTCCAAGCCCAAAATGGTACCCAACGCAGGTATAGTAAATACCAGTTATAATCATGCAGTTTTTACAGAGTTCGGTCATAAGGCTCTGTATCATTATAGCAAACATCCCATACAGATTCCACAGCAGCCTTTGCCACACCAGAGCAATAAGGATTTGCAGACAATGATTTCATAACTCTTCTTCTGATGCATTCCTTCAAGTTACATTGCATTGGTTCAGTACTCATCAAGTAACAGAAACAGTGTCTAAACTCTTGAAAAGCAAGGAGAAAATTCAATTGCAGACCACGCATATAGTGTTACTAGCAAAGCAATAGGAGAATAAACTAAAAAAGACTTCAACTACTACCCTTGAAACATTTCATTTTTCAGTTCAAAAGTCAATGAGAGCAATAGCCTAGAGTTGGTTTATTCTGTTTTTATTCATTTTTCTGATGAATGCGGTAAAATTATTAGCAAAAAGTCCAATGTGTAGCAATTTATGCTATGTTTCTAATTTGAGCTACAAAAACAGTCTATCATAATTTACAGACCAATGGTTGCTTTGGTCTTTCAAAAAACGAACTATCATATACCAAGTTATAATATTAATAGTCAAGCATTTATGATATGAATTAATGTCCACCTAATCCTCATATATAAAGCAGGTGTAAGAACAAGTTCCACCAATCATTCACTCAACTTTTGCACATAAACCAAAATCACCAAGATAAGAGAAACCATGCTTCTATTTATCCTAGTAAATGTTTAGAATATGTGAAAAATTATCTCAATATATTTCATAGGATTAGGAATCTATTACTAGTATAATAAATAAGGGTTAACTGTAACACATCATCATCGATAATATCATACTATTCAAAGTTTTTCTTCTCTATTAGTTGTTCAGCACCTAAATCACTATAATATCTATATAACACTAAAATGGTACCATTTTCTGTAACGTAAACTTGTCAACATCCCGCTGCCAAGATATCTAATGATATACGAGCCTTGGAAGAGAATGAGATATGGTTTTTGCAAAAATTGGCACCCAATTTAGAGTATTCTAGCTCTTAGTCTTATCTTGAACCTTGGTTTAAGTAGAGGCAACTACCACTCCTTTTGGGTTGGTCCATCCTCCAAGTGGCGTGCCTCCTTCCCAGTCCCTATCCCCTTATATTCTTTTCACTTCTTTAATTCATGATCTTTTATTATCAAGTCTTTATTGCTTCCTCCCTTTATTGTTCATTTATTGACTTAATTTCTTGTTTCAATTGAATCATCTACTTCTTCCTTGAGCTCTTGAAAGTGTACCTTCACATATAGATAACCTCTTTCTTATCTTAATCCAGTGGAAATCTTGCTTGTGGCTTTTTTAAGCAACATTAACTCGAACACCTTGCACTCTTAAAAACATAAGATGAACTCAAATCATTGGGGTCAAGATAATTCCCACCAGATCAAAAAGGAAAAGAAGGAAAATAAAAAGATGAAAGAGAGGAAACCTCCCCTAAGGCAGAATATCATTAAACTCCAATCAATCCCCCATTCCACTATATCACACAGAATTTCGATTCCTCTCCAGTAACATTCTCTCTCCCATAACAACTTCTCTCTCCATAAAATAGTTAATTATGAATAGACACAGCTTCCCTTTGGTCCAAAAACCTTTAATAAATATCCAAGCACTTGGGGAAGCCACCCTAAAAAGAAAGCTATTAAATGGGAGAAACAAATACATAAATACTTTACTAAGCATCTCCCATTATTTAATAAGTATCCAAGTACTTGGAGAACCCACACTAGAGATACTTTCCACTTGTCTTACTGCTCTGTATTTTCTTTCCTGATTCAGGCACTGATATCATTATGATACAGTCCTGTTTTCTTTACTAACTAAGTGATTATTCAGTTGTACTGTGCTTTCTTATTTCTGGTACCTATCATATTGATGACACTCTGCAGGTTTGAAGGCCAAGCAAACTTATTTCACTTTACTAAGCATCTCCCATTATTTAATAAGTTTCCAAGTACTTGGAGAACCCACACTAGAGATACTTTCCACTTGTCTTACTGCTCTGTATTTTCTTTCCTGATTCAGGCACTGATATCATTATGATACAGTCCTGTTTTCTTTACTAATTAAGTGATTATTCAGTTGTACTGTGCTTTCTTATTTCTGGTACCTATCATATTGATGACACTTTGCAGGTTTGAAGGCCAAGCAAACTTATTTCCCTTTATGTGTGATATGCATGGTGCAAGCTCAAACTAAGCATTGATCAGCTGATGTTTCCTTGTTGAATTCATTAATTTATTAGGCACTTTGGTGGTGGTAAAAAACCGAAGCCTTTTCGCAATGTGCAATCCATCTATTCAATTGGAATTAGCTCATATATATATAAATCTTAAAGGAGATTTCATTGAATCAACATTTGATTTAGAATAAAACTAAGGCATTTCGCACTCAAGTCACGTGGTCTTTCTAATGGGCGTGCCATTCTAGCATTGCTTCATTTTTTCTTTGTTCTTTACATTTTGTTACAGTGGAATCCTTATCCTAAAAAGATTTTTTTTTTTCTTTTGTCAAAGATGAGGATAAAGAAGTTGCTTCGTGGTTGATGTTCAAAAGTACTAATGGATGACTCAAATAATAATTGAAAAACTGAGACCAAGTCTTTTTATGAATAATTTATCCTTTACACTATCAATCTTTAGATAGTAAAAGGGAAAGGAGAAAAAAAAAATCAAATATAAGATCCTACATGTATCACTGAAAATAAAAGTATTGTTTCGTATATACTGAGAAAGGAAAGAATCAACGCACTTGTTCATGCCCTCGAATTTTCAAGGAAGTTAATCTAAGAAGTTCCCGTTTGAAATGGCAATCACCACTTAGATGACCAGCTCTGATCTGTTTCACATAATCATTGAGAAAAATTAATTGCAGGTACTCCATCAAATTCATTAGATGGATAAGGGGCACATTGTTAGATAGGAACCTCGCTACAAGCATGGTGAGCACATTTTGTCCAATCCAAGTTTGCTGCACGACAGTCATCAAATACATGAATAAGTTCATGCTTTAACACCTGGTCAACATCATCTTGAGATTCCATCTCGTTGCAGCACACAACTATCTGAGACAAAGTCACACCAGTGTAATAAAAGGATGTTATCCCATTGCAATGCTCATAATATCACAATCAAGCATAATATTATCGATTTTATATTTTTTAATTGTCATCTGATCATGGATTGTCATATAGCTAAAAATTGTTGAATTGTGTGATAATTAACATAATTCTCTGTTTGGATAGGGAATTTTAAAATTTAAAGAAATTCAAATACATTGAATTTGGACTTCCTTTCATTTCAAATTGTTTAACTTTGTAGATGCTTTTTTGTTGAATAAGGCAATTCAAATATATTCAATCTTAATTGAATAGAGTATTTGAAATACCACCAACTCCAAAAATATCAAATATGAAAATTACTACTTCAACCATTCAAACATTGAGAAAAAATAACCAATAAAGACCTCAACAGAAAAAATTTGTTGACATGCACTGAAGAATAACCCCACCGACATTGGTTGTGAAAAACCTAAAAATCATCCCCCAAGAAATAACTCTAACTTATATTACTCGAAAAAAAAGTCTAATTGGCATTGAAAAAAACATCCTAGTTGACATCAATCCAGAAATTGTTGTGTTAATATTGGTCAAGAAAAAATTTGATTAATGTTGGTTGAGAAATAACCTCACACTTTCTAATCAATGTTGTTGAGAACAACAAAAAAGAATATCAACTTAAAATAATATTTGTTGATGTTAAACAAAATAATTGCTCATAATAAACTAAAAATCATTGTTCATGTTAATAAAGAAAACCCTAATTAAGGTTATCAACAAAAGAAAACCTTGATTATGCCATTGTATAATTATTCAAGCATTATATCTTATAGCAACTTAGTTTAATTGTGTAACTTGGTTTTTTAAGCTACTACACCAGAAAAATCACCTAAATAAAATGAGAGAACTTTGACCCTGTAAAAAGTTGTAACATCCAATAAATTTCTGGCCAATAGTGAAGGGTATATTCAAAAGAGTGTGTGATGCATCATTCATTGAATAAACACAATTTAAATTGCATGTATAATAACATGTAGAAGCCAAACTCCCAAGAGAGAAAGAGACAAGTACCCCTTTACCCTTAGTGTAACCACCGGCTATTCCGGTCTCGTTGCATTTAACAGCTTTGATGAAATTATCCCCTACGAGACACCCGGCTTTCTCCAACTGCTCCCTCAAGAACCTCACCTGCGGAGCTGAGAAATGTCTGAAATAATCAAATCAAATGAATCCGCAACATAATATAAATTAGAAGTTTTCTTCTTTTTTAAGTGATTTTGTAAAGAGAGTGAGCAATTGGAGTTTAAGAACAGAGAGTGTTGACATTTGATGAATACATACAAAGGAGACTCTTATGAATCATGCTTTGGCACTGCTCCAAAGTTGCGCCGGGGTTTCTGGGAAAGGAGGAGAGATTGTTTTCCTCCATTCCCTGCTCTGCCTTTGATTTCTTTGAGACGCAGTTTTGTGGGTGGCTCCTGCTGAGAAAGTGATGCCTAGGAAGGCAACGGGCCGGGCACAGTGACTATCCGCAACCAGATCCCCTGGATAAATTTGTATCCGCGTTTAAAAATTATTCGCACTAATTTAAAACTCGCGGATACGTAAAAAAATAAAAAAGATATATTTAATACATTTTTAAAATAAAACTTAAATAAAATTAAAAATATATATAATATAAATTAAATTAAATTAAATTAAATTAAATATAAATTAAATTTAAATTTTAATTAAATTTAATCTAATAAAATATTATATTATTTTATTTTTAATTAAATTTAATTAAAAGATATATAAATTATTAAACTTTTTTAATTTTTTTTGGGTAAAGGATATCCGCGGAACGAGTAGTATACTACCCATACCCAATCCGTTTATATGTGAATATTAAAATACCCGTTATTCGTTACCCGCGTATTTTAGCCGCAGATATTCGTGCCCGTGAATAAAATTGTCATCCCTACTTACCTGTTCTTCTTAAAACAAAACCCCTCCTTAAAACTTTTTTGGCGTTTATTTATTTAGGGTTAAATATGTTATTCATCCCTGAAGTATCACTGATTTTTTGTTTTAGTCCCTATTCAAAACTTTGATGTCTTTTAGTCCTTGTTGTATTGAAACATGTAATATTAGTTCTTAAAAATGGACGGCGTCATGTTTTTGTTAATCTGGCAAACGGTGAAGTCAGGTCTTCTGCCAGCTTCTGTCTTAAGTATCTGTCACGTTGCATTTTTAATTAATGGAATGAGATTAAGTGATTGTCACGTGTGTTGAAATCAGATTACGAATTAGGGTCGAAACCTTCGAATTGGGAAAAAATAGTTTCTGGAAACCTTCCACTCGAAGAGGTCCCAGTGAGGCAGTGGGAGTTCAGAAAAGAATTCAATCTTTGAGTCGTATACTGGATGATACTTTGCGAACCATTCATACTCATCCCACCTCCTAAGAACATTTTATAATAGTATTTTAAACTCAACGATTTAATTCATATTTTATTATGAATCACAGTGTCCGTAGGCTTGAACATCTTGGGCATCTTCAAATTATCAGAATCAGGAAGATTAATTTTCACCGTCTTAATCTTTCCTTTTCTAGTGTTCACAG